TGGGGGTCTGGGAAGAGTGAAGGCAGGGTTATCATCCCACCGATGGGACTGCAGCAGAGCCTGGAGGCTGTGGGGATGGGGGAACAGCTATAGATGCTTTGCACAGGCCCCAGCACCACACAGGAGCCTGGCCTGGGAAGTGGTAAACACAGACCAGTGCTAAGCTGGGCAGTACCCATCCTACTGTTGGTGCTGTGCTGAGCCTGGAGTAGGCAGCCCCTCAGCCTCCAGTTCAGGATAGGGGAGGGACCAGCCTGGTGGAGCTGAAAGGATGGAGGAGGGCTGGGCCAGGGCTTGGAGCAGGAGTGGTAAAGCAGCATGTGACCAAGCTCCCTCCTGCTTTCCCTGGACCAGCTGTTGGGATTTGGGGTGGGGGCACAGCACACAGACAATCAGGTCTCTTCTTACAGTGTGCCAGCATCAGCTGGAGGAGGAAGAGGGTGGGCACAGCAGGGCAGAGAGCACTAGGGGTGCAGGCAAGCATGTACAGTCCCTACTGCAGACAGCATATGCTCTTTGCAATGCCAGAAGCAGCAGGACTGTGGGTACTGAGGGCACCAGTGCCCAGCACCAGCAGCCCCGCTGTGGGGCAGCCCACCCAGGGCCATGCTGAGTGCTGCACTTCCACAGGACGCTGGTGGACTGCGTGCCCCTGGTGGACGTGGAAGACATGATGGTCATGGGGAAGAAGCCAGATGCCAAGTGTGTCTTCACCTATGTGCAGTCCCTCTACAACCACCTGCGTCGCCATGAGTTGCGCATGCGGCAGAAAGAGTGCTAGAGCCTGCCCTGCCTGCCACCACCTGCCCTCAGGGAGCTGCCTGCCCCAAGAGGGCCTGGGGGGGCCAAGGGACCAGTGCTGGGGGTGGGGGGGCCCTGCCACAGGGCATCCTCATGCCTCTGCCTTGCCGGAGCCCCCTCTGCCCTGCCCAGCTGCAGGCTGACCCTGTGGGTAGGGCAAGGCAGGCACTGCAGGGATGCTCCACAGCTTGGCTTGCCTCCCACACTCTAGTGAGTTATTTGTTCTCCAGGAGTTGTTTGTACTGTGGGCAGCACCCCTGTGTCCCCAGGGCGGCCTGGGCATTACTGCTCCCTCAGGCTGGCAGTGGTCAGCAGCTGTGTGGCCTGGCCTCAGCGTATTCTGCAGGCAGCACAGCTGTGAGTGGTTCTCCCTGGCCCCCTTTGAGTTAGCCCCTCTGCCCACCGTAGGCAGGTGGTGCCTTCCTGTGGGCAGCTCCATGGCCCTGTGCTGAAACCCTGCTTCCCACCATGCACGTGCACCCTGGGATGCTTCTATACTGGGGGGCTGCAGTACCCATGTGCTGGGGAGTGGGTGGGGGGGTGAAGGGTCCCAGGGGAACAAGGGGCTCAAGGAGCAAGCCAGAACAGCAGCCCCTGCTATCCTCCCCAGCTCAGGGCACCACGTGCTCAGCATTGCTCACCCTTCCATCACTGTCTCTACACCTGTGTTGACACGTGTTCCAAAACCAGCCAGACAATAAAGGTTTATTCTATTAGATGACCCTTCTGCCTTGGGTCCTTGTTCCTGGCCACACTGCTGCTTCATGCTTCCAGTGCAAACCACAGTGCCAGGGAAGCATTGGCAGCCCGCTTCTCCAGACCTCTCTGCCGGGAGGCCCCCTGCTCACCTGGCCCAGGGGGATGCAGGGCACATGCTGCTCCTCTTGCTCAGGGATGATGCCCAGAGCCCAGTGGCACCATCAGCATCCCACCCTGACCAAGGGCTGTTGGTTTCCAGCACTGCAGGATCCACTCATGGGCTCATACCCGTCCCCCCCTGTGCCCCATGAGAGCAGCTCATCCCAAGCCTCATCCATACATCACACTGATGGCACAGGAACAGCAACGTTGTTCCATAGGATGGTTCGTCAGCTTGCCATCAGCGAACTGCTGTGACACTGCTGTCCCCTCCTGGCTCTGGGGCACCCAGCTCCTTCTGGCACCCAGTACAGAGAAGCACAGGATGACCCTGCTGAGCCCTCCCTGGAAAGATGACACAGTGCAGGCGATTGTACACACGGGTTTTACTAGGGGCTCAATACGAGACAACTCTGCTGGGGCATAAAGCCATAACCCCTCTGGGGGCAGCTTTCCCACCTCCAGGACTCAGCACATCGACTCTCAGCACCTGAAGCTTTCTGCTGAGGGTTTCATCCTGTCCCATGCAGGTAGGATATTGCTGCCCAACGCCAGGAGTCAGCGAAACCTCAGGGCACTGAGAGGGAGCACAAAGAACATCTGACCACCTGGGAATGCCGGGCTGCAGGGGAAGGAGAGCAGCAACAGGCACACAGGACCCCTGAGAGGGCCACAATGCCTGTGAAACCCCTGATTAAGGCTGGGGCAGCTCACGGCATCCTTGGGGAGAGGCCACACAGCACCAAGCAACAACAGGAGCACCTCTGCACCCCACAGCACCATCCCCAGCTGCTGTGATGTCGTTATCCCTGCATGCTGGCTGCAGGACCCCTCACTAGAGTTCTGGGTGTTCTCCCTCGTTGTGTTTGGGTGGGGTCTTGCCATCAGCGGTGGGAGTTTGGGGAGGTGGCAGTGCAGGCAGAGGCCTGGCAGGCGCAAAGTGGAACTCCTCGGGCACAGGGGCGTCAGGCGTCTCCTTGCGGTAGAAGCCCAGCTCCTGCACCAGCTGATTGATCTCCTCCTGGGTCATGTCGCTTAGGGGGATTCTCTGCACACAGGCAGGGGTTGCAGCCCGGTGCTGCAGGGCACCAGCCACCCAGACCCTGCTGCAGCAGCAGGTGCCATGCTGCACGCTCACCTCCAGCTCCTCGTATTGGTGGCTGAGGAGCACAAGCTCAGGGTCAGCACCAGGCAGATGCTTCATCTCCAGGTTATGGCTGGGTGGTGTGTTAAGGAGCCAACAGTACCGGGCAGGTCCATGCAGCACTCCCCCCCCCATCCCCTCCTGCTTTCTGTCCCATCCCATCCCATCCCATTCCATCCCCTCCTCCACTC